AAGAACGTTACTAGAAGGCCGACTAAACACGAAGACAACAAAATTTCTACGCCATGAATTACAGGTTACTGACCGGACACACGTTCTCTCTCTGCAGTGTAGTTGAGAACTGAGATTTAAAGAAACTACGAATTATATGACTCAGACGGATAAACTAAGTGAGATTTGAAAAAAAGAACTTCACAGACGTTAATCTACGTAGAATTCATTTCACGCGGGTTTAGGCAAACTAGAAGAGTAGGAAGTTAAGAAACTCGCATAAACATTAAGAAAATCCCATTGGGAAAAAAAGTGGAAGATGGTAGGAGATCTTTAAAATAAAACACAACGTGGTACTTCCATTTTCTAACTGTAAGTAAATTCTGTCAACTCAAAACTCTACAAAGAGGCGACTTACTTTTACATTTTAGATATCTGACAGCTGTAAGAAGGTTCACGCTAACGGCGGTTTTAAGAAAACTTTCTTCTCGACTTAACTTTTTTTATATGCCATCCACGTGACGAGTAACAGCCTATAATAAAATCAACCAACTACTTGCACGGGCCTTTGATAAAGAAGAAGGCGACAGTTTTATCTGGAATTTAAGAAAATTCCTGTTTCTTAGAAACAACCATTAAGATGCGTGAGGAACTAATAAATTAAATTTCACGTATTTGCGGATCTTGGGTCTAGATTACTGCTTCACGCTTCAGCCGTCTTTGTCTTTGTGTACGGAATTCCTTGCCGAGTGGAATGGAAAATGGACCAAGATCCTTCCCGGAAGTTGTGATGAAGTCAGCACTCAAACTGTTTATTGAGATGATCGAACCCAGGCTGTCCGACCGACAGGCCTAGTGGTTGAGCTGCTAAGCGTTTTGGTTCACTCTTAATAATCGGGTTTCATCTCTTTCTTTCTTTCTTTCCTTCACTTTTATTAACGCCTTAATATAAGCTGGGAGTATACACAGTTTTCCACGTTCCTAACTGAATCATGGTTTATTAAAAGCGGGGCATCACAAGACTGGGTGTGGTGACAGATAGAGGAAGTGACGTAGTAGGTTGAGCCTTATAGGTCCTACTAGAACATGTAAAGAAAACGGAATGCTTCTAATCGAAGTTGCCGGCCATTCTAAGGGAAGATGGAGGAAAACCACGAAATTCCTTGTATGAGTGGGATAATAATTTAATATTCATTTTCGCTAATACAGGCTAATGCAATATCACCTACACTTCCATTAGCTTAGTATAAAATCATCGACAGAACGAGTGAAACAGTCGTACTTCTTACAATTAAATTACAGTTATTAGGAAGCATAACTCCGGCTAGAGAGACTGGTATTCTGAAGGTGCGCCTCAAAATGCATGAGAGGAGCTACCGAAGTGCCCTGTCAATTACAGCTGGTCTAAAGGAAACACAGGAGTTCTGAGTACATAGCAGTTGGGCCATTCTGCGTCGTGTTCGTGAATTGCAGCCGTATTCGCAAAGCACTTCCTTCCGATAATCTCTCCTACCCCCGTACCCCGTACAACCCCCATGAACACCCACCCTTCTTATCAACTCGACACATGTCGAGATGTTCGCGAAACACCCGCCCTTCTGTGTGTTTTATAAGACAGGGGTGACCAATCATACGCTTATCTGCCGATACCATTCACATTAGGCCTAGGGCATGTGTTAACTGTGTGTACGACCTACTTGGGCATGTAACAGCACTGAATCTTGCCCAGAAAATATATTTATAGGTTTAGTTTTTTAATAAATATTATTTTCCTAAACATTAACCAATTGATCTTTGTAATGGATACGCGTTTTGAGAGCATGAACTGAATTTTATGTATTATTTCGAACAACTTCGGCTCACTCATTCACTCTATGGTACAGGAAATTCTTTGAAATGTCGATTTTACACTTGGCTTATCAAAGAATAGCTCACTTTTTATGGAACCCGAAGGCTCATTACCGTATTCACAAAAGCCGCCACCGAACTCTATCCAGAGCTAGCTGCATTCAATTCGCTCCATTGATTCCTATCTCCCTAAGGTCCATCTTACCTACGCCTAGGTCTTTCCAGCGGTCTCCTAGATTCAAACTTACCAACTAATACCTTGTATACATCCCTCTCCTACCCAATGCGTGTTACATGCCTCGCTCATCTTATATCCCTCGATTTAATCAGGTGAGGATTACAAGCAGTGATCCACCCCCCGCCCTGTCCCAGGATCGGCGTCAAAGGGTTAATATTGTGTAGACAATTTTTACCTCCATCATCACATCATGAACAGCTGTGGACCCGCCCAGCATACTATTCACTGAATTTGTTAACCGGAGGTAAAGCTATCAAAGTGCAAACCTTGATGTCGGGCATTGAACTCAACGAAATTACAAAGCTCTAAAAAGCTATATTTGGATCATTATGTCTGTGACAAACGTCATCTTCGTGGAATAACAACTCAAAACATGAGCGTCAGTTAATTATGACTTATTGGTTGATCCAGTGGTCTTGGTGACAGCTGGAGGACAGGATGCGAAGGGGGCCACACAACATACACAGAGGTGCATGGCTGAGTTAACACCCACCGGAACAAGTGGTTATCAGTACAACAGTGTGCGTGTATGTGTGTGTAAGTAAGACGGGGGGGCCTGGAAATCATATTCCTATCTTTCGGGGTTCTTCGCATTTGCATTAAACACAGACACACATATTAGGCCTAGGATTTAGCTCCGTGTAACTTCTTCCTCTTCCCAAAGATGAAAATTCAGCTAAAGGAAAGGAGATTTGAGACGATAGAAGAGATTCAGGCAGAATCGCAGATGGTGCTTGACAGGCTGACAAAGAAAGATTTCCAGGGATGCTTCCAGGCTTGGCAGCGGCCCTGGGATCGTTGTGTTCACTCCCAGGGGAACTACTTCGAGGGTGCTGGATGAATTTAATACCTGAGATAAGTGTACGGGTTTTTATACGCGCAGTCTGGAAACCTTCCGATCGCACCTCGTATATTACAGAAAAACTTCAAACAATCACGATGTAGAGAAACATCACGCAAGGGACGCAATGTATAAGTTCCTCTCGCAACTATAAAGATTTTAAATGGTTTAATTACAATTACGTTCTTTTACAGTACGTTACTTAAAAATAACACTCGAAACCAAACGTAACTCTTACGCCTGGAAGATTAAAGTTCATCGAATACACTAATAATAGGCCTACTACACATATTTTAAAACAGACAGTTACGTTATAATTAATTTGTTCGTAACGCGGAAGAAAGAAATTACTGATGTGAGAGAGTGATATTAACTGAAGAGGAAGAGGACACTGTAATCCGTACATCACATCACTTACATTCTTCTTGAGAACAAGGAAGCACCTACAGCCCTATATAAACCACTGTCCTTGGATCGGGCACTGACTTGTAGATATCTGTAGCCCCCGAAAAGACTTTCATGCATCATGAACTCTCAAAAACAATTAAAAGACAGGGACGCTAAACCACTAGTACCGAACAATCTCAGATGTGCATTTTGCATGTTCCGACCTATCTGTTCTCCAGAAAAACGCCGTTAATCATAAACTTTGTTCGATCATGCTACGATTTACAGCGATAATGTTTACGTAACTGCTAAACTTGAGGTATGAGAGAAAGGACTTCTGGATTTTAAACCCTTTAAAGCTAAACGGTAATTACATGTATACCAACCGCTTTAACAGTCATTAACTCTGAACGGTAACTCAAATACCAACTGCTTTAAATTCAATACCTATGCATTTTGTATTTATGTTTCCCAGAATAAACATCGATTATTTTCTTAAACAGCACTAATCAGATGATATTTAATTGAAAAGTATTGTATTTTCTTTAAATATTGTTTAGAATTGGAAATCAAAATTCCTTTTTTCAGTCTAGCATCTTTATTTACTTTTAGGTAATATTTTAAGAGGATAAAGTTATACGCCGGTACTGACCGATAATTTGAGAGACATGGAAGGAAGTGGTCGTGACCTGTTTTGATGCAATATTACAGTAATTGATTAAAGGATAAAGGAAATACACGAGAAACGTTTGATCGGTTTAGCCAGTCTCCAGGCCCGAAATCGAAGCCAGGACCTTTCGAACGACAAAGTCGGTAGAACATGTCTACTACCCGCTCAACCGGAGCGTTCTGTCCGCGGTTACGATTTTTTCGTTCTCATGTGATATTCCTTGAAATAAGATGAGGGCTGGGCCACTTCGAGGACTATGGAACTACAAGCTACTCGATGACCAGGAAGAAACATCTGATATCTTTAAGAAACCCATTTTCCGTGTTCCTTCCTTGATCCTATCGACTGTACGCTGTATCACACAACGGGCCTACCACGCAAAAGATTACGTAGTGCGAGAGGCTGTAATGTCTTAATTTAACTTCGCTTGTTAACTATAAGAAAAATGACGAATATTCAGGGAAGGTCTGCGGTTTTTCAGTTCCGTAAATAAAATTAGATTTGTATTTTAAAATATAGCAGGACTCCCCGAACTCTAGCTCAAGAGGGCTCTATGGTGCTAAAAACACGAATACTTTAGTAAGTTATATTTCTTTTACATTCAAGACACGTAAGACTCGCTTGTGTTTTCACGAAAACTCAGTCGAGACCTAACAATTACGATTAAACTCAATTATTCGCGTCTTCAGAATCGCGTGACGCTGTCGTCTGAGTTCTGAACTGACTCAGTACAGGCATGTGAACTAGGATGAGCTATGTTTTTAGAACTAAGTCAAACGCATTTCCATTAATTAATACTGTGTATTGATTAGACTTTTAAGCAAGACCTGAACGATACATGCACAGTGCAGGACTAAACTCAGAAGACGCTCCACAAGGGCTGCAGCATCACAATAGCCTAGTGGAAGGAGGGGGGAGGGCTGCATTTCCTTTTACTTTTAACCGAGAGGGGAGCTTGCTTGCACACGGGACAGGTGTTACAGCGAGCAGGCACGAGCCATGCATCTGACAGTTGGTTCTTGTTTTGCACCTTGCAGGCTGGGCTATGGGAAACTGAAAGCCGCCGTAGACACAGCACACGAGAACAAGAGCGGGGTGGTCAAGAGGGGAGTCACACCGGCGGGGGAGGGGAGGACTATCCTCCTTCAGCCTGCCACTGGCTACGTCACCGCCCCTACCACAAGCCAAGGGGAGAGAACCCTCGGCCAATAAGAGAAGGCCTTTCTTATGATGTCATCAGAAGAGGAAGCCGAATGTTTCGGGTTGTATGGAGATAAACTGTTGAAGAAGGCAAAACGAACGAGGCAGCGTGTGGACGCAGGCGAGCCAAGGAACAGCTACTCGTCGATTCCTAACTTCAGTTCGCGACCGTCTTTCCTCAGCGGCGGGTTGTACGGTGCCATCTTCAGCCAAAGCCATCAGCACTTCGGTCTGTTCGGGCCGGGCTTCGGGCCCGCCAAGATGCTCAACGAGCTACTAGGCCGCCAGGCGAAGCAGTACCACGCCGGACATGATGACTCTGGACTCTGCCAGTTCGGACGGCAAAGTAAACTTCGACTGTTTAAACGCGACTTCAGTGATTCGTAGGGGACTTGAGGAGGACGGAAGCCCGCCCCCTAACGATATCGCGCACCACATGTTGAGAGACATTTTGCAAGGTCGTAAGAAGGATTTGATGACACTGGAACAGGAACTGCGCGGTGTTAGTGTGAGTGGAAACTGTGGTGAGGCGAACTCGCCAGACAACAACAACAGCATCAACAACAACAACAACGAACTGAAAAACGGAGGACTAGTGAGTGCGGGGGGTGGTGACACGAGTGACACGGAGACTGGCGGAGGTGGTGGCAAGTCGCTCACGGTCAACGGGGGGGACATGAACATGGACACGTCCGACATGAACAGCGCGGAAGACGAGGCAGCTGCGGCCGCAGCGATGGAAGAGGCTCTTAGCGAAGTGGGTGTCGTGTCGAAGCAGCAACAGGCCGAGCTCATGGAGGACGCTCTCAACAGCATGAACGGCGGCGGCGCCTCCGACTCGGAACCCTCCATGGCGTCACCAGCGTCTGAGTCGTTGGCGAATCCCAAGGACGACGTGGACGGCGAGATGACTGGGGCCGCTGACTTGAACAAGGAACAGGAATCGCCATGCGCACCACCTGTAGCACAGAAGCCCGAGCAGCTGGAGCTGAAACGTGCGCGTGTAGAGAACATAGTGTCGTCCATGAGGTCGAGCCCGGCGCTGCCCGTGGTGAACGGTTGCAAGAAGCGAAAGCTGTACCATCCGCAGCAGCACGATAACAGTGCCGAACGCTACAACACTTCGGGCTATGGGCTGGGGCTCGGGTTGGGACTACTGCTCGACGACGATGACGAGATGGAGCCCCCAGAGGTGCGACAGAAGCGCGTCGAGAAGAACGCGCTCAAGACCCAGCTGCGCACTATGCAGGAACAGCTGGCGGAGATGCAACAGAAGTACGTGCAGTTGTGTACGCGCATGGAACAAGAATCGGATTGCCAGGACACGGAAGACGTTACCAGCGACCTAGAGCAGGATGGCAACAGCATGCCCATACCGGAGAAACCCATGTCTACGCCAGTCACGACACCTATCAAAGAGGTCGTACCCTGTTCGCCCATCACTAATCAGTCGGGACTTTCTCCTGCGGTGACCAAGTTGGTGTCTGCCAAGTTGCACCCTCATCAAAATGCCCCACATCCACCCCCTCATCAACACCCCTTGCTGCCGACGCTGAATGGCGGTTTATCGCTCCTGCAACAACATCAACAGCAACAGGTACAGGTACAACAGCAACAGCAGCAGCAACCACCACCCCCTCATGGCCCACAGCACGATTCCCACCCCCAGCCACAACTTCCACACCATCACCAACAGCACCATCACCACCACCACGCCATCAGCAATGCGGCAGCTATGTACCTCGGCGTCAGCCACAAACTTTTCCTTGAGAACGAGGCCCGCCTCGCGAAGGATGCAGCCGTCGCAGCGGCAGTGGCTGCAGAGCAACAACACCAACACCAGCAGCAGCAACAGCAACAACAGCAGCAACAACAGCAACAACAGCAGCAACAACAACAACAACAGCAGCAGCAACAGCAACAACCAATACAACAGCATCCGAACCAGGGCCAGCAACAGCATGGCGGAGGTCAAAGCTGCCCGCCTCAGCTGCAGACTAACCACCCCCAACAGCCGCCCCCGCCAGGCCAGCAGCAGATGCCAAAAAGCTCCTCCGTGTCAACGGACTTCTCGGAACGCTTCTCCTTATTTCGGAACAATGTGACCGCCATGGCACCCGTCTCAGGCTCCGACCTGGAGGGCCTGGCGGACGTGCTTAAGACGGAAATCACTGCGTCGCTCACAAACCTCATCGACTCGATCGTAGCGCGCTTCGTGCAGCAACGCCGCTTCCTAGGCAAACAGTCAGAGGTGGCGGCGGCGGCGGCAGCCGAGCAGCTCAACAAAGACCTCCTAATGGCCTCACAGCTACTGGACCGGAAGTCGCCCCGTACAAAGGTCATAGACCGAGGGAGTATGACCGGAGGCAGTGCGGGTGTCAACACAGGTGGCCCCAGGATAAACGGCAATGCTTTTCCAACCCTCGGCATGACACATACAAACAACAATCCCGAGAACAACATCAACACCATGAACCTGCCCCATGTGAGACCATCGCCAACTGCGGCAATGTTTCAGCCTCCAAAGACCCCCGGAAACGTCAACTCTTCTGCAGCGGCGGCAGCGCTCTACTCCTCCATGAGCGGCCTTGGGGGCCCTCACATAAACCCGTTCTGCATGTCAGAAGGGCGGGAGGGAATGCCGGAGCAGAACGAAGCCCTGAGCCTCGTGGTGACACCCAAGAAGAAGCGCCATAAGGTGACCGACACACGTATCACGCCGCGCACTGTGAGCCGTATCCTGGCGCAAGACGGCATGACAGTGGCGCCCGCGGGTCCCATGCAGGACGGGACCCCGACGAACAAATACGGCAACCTTATGGCCTCCACGAGCGGTGGCGGCGGCGCTGGAAGCGGAGCGGAACTACCCACGTCAGTGGCCATCCCCAACCCCAGTCTCCACGAGTCGCAGGTATTCTCACCCTACAGCCCGTTCTACAACGCGCACCACCAGCAACAGCAGCAGCAACAACAACAACAACAACAGCAGCAACAACAGCAACAACAACAACACCAACACCCGCTCATGGCATCCTCGAGTCCGCCCGGAGGCATCGGGGTGGGAACTGCTGACCCACGAGACTCGCCACCCCTGCCACACCCACCCACACTCCTGCACCCCGCTCTGCTAGCGGCGGCGCAGCACGGGGGTTCCCCGGACTACGGCCACCTGCGCGCCAGCTCAGGTATGGGTGGCGGAGCGGACAGCGTGGACCGCAACTCGGACTGCAACTCAGGAGATGGGCCCTACGACGGCATTCAACCAACAATATCCTTTAGCAATACTGCACCCACACAGATAACGAGTAAGTTGCAGACCTCATTAACAGCATGAAATTTACTTGCGGCCAGATCATAATTCTGTAGGTAACGTAACTTTACTAAAAGTCGACCTCGTTATATACACCGCCTTTCGCTTTTAAGTGCCCAAGGAAGAAGGCTATCTCCTCCGAGATCCTTGTCAAAAATCAATTCTGCTTTATTTCAAATTAGACATATGTTGAGACAGATTTCCATGTACTTAGTGACTTCTGTTTGAACGTCACGTTGCGGTGGTACCAAACATTCTATAAGTCATTCATTTGTTGCTAGCTCTAATAAATGAATCAAAGGCTGTCGGCCTCTCTTTACTAGGACCCCGGTTTCATAAAAAAGTACTGGACGTTTCTTCTGTAACACAAGAGACGTACCTACGTAGAACAGGACATCAAATAAGTACGCGATACCTTTAATATGTAGTTAGATATCAAGTATACAGCCTGTATTGCCTTCTGACATGAACAAGGTAAGACAAGTAAAAAAAAAAAGATGTCATATCAAATGCACAAACAAAGATTATAGGCAGGCGAGTGAACTTCTGAAAGGAAAAATTATGAATTTATGTTTCGCCGTCATCATCCAGTCCGTCTTGTACTCCACCTCTTGTTATTAGGTCGTTTCTTATTCACCGGGCAGAATGCGACCTCGCTCTGTCGGCGTGAGAAATGTAACCGGTGTGCCTTATTACTGTTTGTCTTTCTATCAAGAAAAATCTTCATTCATTTTTCTTTCCATGCGAACAGCACCCGAGATTATAATCTTATACCCGAATAAATTATAAATAATTTAAGATCTGAAATCAGCACGCCTTCAAATAATGCACGTTACAGTATACGAATTTAAACAAGCATTGACAAAAGAATGTATAAAAAATTCAGTTTAAAAATTCCTCTACTGTACACACGTAATATCCATTTATGTAATCTGTAATTGGCATGGGTCTGTACACGTCTAGCTGTTTTATCACAGTTGAACTTTCTGTATAAGGTCTACTTCCATAAATTGCGAAGAAATTAAATATTTTCAGAACATCTGAATTATGGACAAAGTGAAAGGAAGAAAGAACGTAAATTATCTTCACAAATGTATCCCCTATTTTACAGAATACAAATTCTTTATATATATAATGAAATATACGTTGTACTGAGATAGATTATTACTTTAAAATCTGTTCGTAATCTGGTCATAAATCAGTTACAAAATGTCTGTTTCTATATTCACAAGCAACATTAAAAATTTTATACGTTTTACAACGTTGCAAGTAAAACGTGAAGTCATGTGATTTTACTCGGAGAAATATGGCAGACGTGCGTGACTAGGTGGGAAATTTTAGTCTTTTCCTAACACAAACCTCGCTATCTTCTTACTAATGGATAAACACAATTGCTACCTTGTCTCTATGCTTATTTATCTTTCATCAGAATTATTTTTTCAAGAATATTACTTGGAGACGAACCTGTAGTATGCTTACTTCAGGACATGTATTAAAATAGTTGTTCGATTATGGGCAATAGACCTACGTCTCTTCTATAGCAAACATAAATTCTCGTGACCACAAATCATTTTGCATGTATGGGTCACAGGTAGGTAACAAAGTCATGTGTCTCGAAGGACAGTTGTAGGGTGTCAGGCTGGCATTATCACGTGCATTTTATAAGACGACTACTTCACCTACTCTCAACTCTAATGCCAATTATAACCATGTCCACGTATATTTGATATTGGTCAATCTCATTTGAGTCTAACAAATGATCTAAGTGAAAAGAAAAGTTGTCCCACTGTACGCCATGTAGGCGCTTGGGGGGGGGGGAAGGTGTAGCTCTTCCTCATTCTTAACCTCGGCACTAGATAGGGGTGAGTAGTCAGTGTCACGCCCCGGCCGCACTTTACCCTCGGGAAAGGACCCCGGTACCCATTATATACGAGGTTAGGTTGGCCTCAGAGTGAATCTGGACGCAGAGGCTAGAGGAAATATCCTCTGCCCCCGTCGGGGATCGAACGTAGTCTAGTTCATAAGCAGTCACTATACTGACTGAGCTACCCCGTTCATGAATGATATACCTTTATTACAATCTGTCCCAATATATGCTTTCAGTTTCATACAGACACGTTTTATATCATTACGGAATACTCAGCTGTGCCCTTTGTGCAGATTATCTGCTGACAATAAAAATCTTTAAACCCGTTACAAGATCTTATTTATTTTTGGCTGTCTTGTACGTAAACAAGAATTTATTTACGAAAATTAGGATTTATATTTCTGAAAACAGCGTCTACTCTGTTCCCCGTAATTTTAATATCACGTGTCTTGCTTTATTTGTTCACGACAAAGCAAGCATGCTGTTTGAAAAGACAATAGGATTTAGATTAGGAATGTATACCTTGG